GTCTTATATCTGGGACATCTATTGTGTATTGTTTTGAAAAGTTAAGTTTTATCTGTCTCGTTGATATTTTTCATTAAAATCGGTCGAGCATTTCAGATATAGGCTGCGAAATATACAAAAACATTCTAATTCGTTTCCAAGTCTCGTGATTTATTTACATCAAATATTTGTTTTTATCATTTTTGACCCAGTACCTACCTACTCTAAATAGGCATCTGCCTAAAACTTTTAATAACAAAAGCCGCAATTTTATTAAGAATTTACAACAATATTACTTTATACATATCTAAGCAACCAACTTAGCAACTAGTTAAATAGTTGGTCGCGCACGAATTGCTTTCCCGTCGACTGATCTCATGTCTGGTTGCGGATTTGAGCCGGTATATACCTACCTAACAATAAGTAGGTACAGTATAAATATATATACATATATATATACATAGGTAGGTCTAATATTAGCCGATAACTTTGATGAGCGACCTTGTACAAGTAAGCGATGCTCACGCTAACACGATATTCGATGCGAAGTGAAGCCATAATGAGGATTGTCTTTTTAGATTTAGTAATTAGTAATTATTTCTTTATGTTCAATGAAAAACCTGATGACGCTTAGGTCTATTGGTTGGTAACGAAAATTTATACTTGAATGGGACATGAAGTACCTACCAAATCCTTTCAGAATAGCAAAAATAAGTATGGGAGAGAAAAATGATCCCATAATGCACTTATGGGATCATTTTTCTCTCTCAGACTAATAGCGTCCAGTGTTCCTTGTGGTAACTTTATCACCCCTTTGAAAAATAACTGTGATTTATGTGGATTTTCTAAACATTTGAACCTAAAGTATGTATAATAAAAAAAGTTTAAAAGTAATATGCGAATACAGCTACAGAAACAAAAGACAGTCGACAAAAAAACATACAGTAAAGTCTCTGCATTTCCTTAATTTCCATAATTACCTATAATTTTAAATAATGTTTACCTCCTCCATGATTGGGCTGCCCAGTGAAGTGTTGATGGACGGTGGAGCGTCACTAATGGCGGCCTTCTCGCCTCCTTCGCGCGCACCATTCACCTCCGAGTCCAAACTGACTTCCTGTAATAGAGAACAGATTATTTAATAGATAACAAATACACAATTGACATCGATTTCGTAGTAAGTAGTGAAGTAAGTGCTGTTGGAATTTATTGTTTTCTTATTATGGTAGTTTTTGAATGAATCGATTTAAATTAAGGATACTTTTATTTAGAAAATAGTTGTTTGGGAGACAAATCATAAAACTCCAATAAGAAATTTTAGTTTTTTTAGATTTATTACGGCGGGTTTATTGTACTAACAAACTGACTCATAAGATGAATAAATGTGTCAAAGCCCTGGAAAACTTATGTCTGTTATGAAAATATATTTTTTTGTTATTATAGAAAAGGAAACAGAGAGTTAATATCTCATCATCAGCCAAAAGACATTCAATGCTGGACAGAGGGATTAGCTGTACATCGAAAGAGAAATCGTCACTTGCATCCATTGGTTCCCAGCGACTCTTACGATGTCGTTGGTCCACCTAGCGGGAGCTTCGCTGATTAACAAGTGCTAACCTTGAAATGCAACACTGTTATGATAGTTTTTTTAAATAATTTTTGTACATACACTCTTTTACTGTATGTACCTACAGATTTCAGGTATTTGGGTGGAAAATATATATATCTAGCAAGAGCTTGTTCTTCGCGGCTTTATTAATACTTATGACCATGACTCTCTGCTAGGGTTGCCAACCATACTTTATAATAACGTATCCTACTTTATTTTTGGTAATTATACTTTAATCTTTTACATGCAAATAAAGTATGCAAAAATACTTTATTCCTAACATGTCTTTGAAAAATGAGGTAAAATTTGAACATTTTGAAATTGTTATTACAAAGGCAAAATTACAAGACAGATTAAATATTAAGATGGACGATATGTATTCCGAATCTATAAGACTTAGAGAAATCCAAAGAAAAGTCACTAGGTAATGATGCTCAAGAATTTTTAGTGAAAAGTATAGTAGAAAAATGGCAATATATACTTAAAAATGCATCTGATAGCTTACCAAATATAAAAAAAACAGCTTTTACTGAGTTTTTTTGTAATGAATCTCAAGTGGCGAGAAGAGAGAAATAGAGCATCAATAAATTCAAATAAAAACGAACTGTTTATCTGTTTAAAACTTAAATATTGATTGTCAAAAAAGCTTTGTAACATTTAAACATAACAAGAAATTGTTATCATGTGCTAAAAGCACACAAAAATACGTTTTTAAAACAAAAATAACATAAAATTTGAAATATACTTTTTTTTTCTTCCTAATACTTTATTTTTCCTATCTAAACCACTTTTATATGTTTTATTTGTCAAAAAAAGTTGGCAACCCTACTCTCTGCATAAGAACATCATATGTACTTCGATAATTATTCTTAAAAAATAATTATCGAAATTGATTCAGCTGTTTATGAGTAACGCATATTTGGTGTTCATTTTTATATTGTAGAAGATTTTTGATGAGTAGTGTCTGAATGGAACAAAAGTATAATCTCTAATGTAAAATTTCTCTTATCTTTCTCAATAAAATAACAAAAACAAGTTAATTTATAATCTAGTCGCACAGAAATAAGTTACAAAATTGATTACCAAAAGACTACAATGACATCATGGTGTGTCAATCTGCATCATAGACAAATTAAGGATTTATTATGATATAAGATATCCTGTTGTTGTATTATAAATCTTTTGTTGCCCTATTTTAACTATGTTCTTAGACAAGAATTCAATAACAGGTGCATTTCATTATCAACTTAAATACAATAGGATAAAGTGTAAACTCCATTATGTTCACAGAAGAATGTGGTGGAGTTTATTGTGCAGGCATTTAGCTCCAACTAAGAGGTACTCTTAGATGTATGGCTACATGCTTACAACTACCTACACTGATTTTTATATCCTACAGAAGTCACATTATGCTCTAATTTTATATAAGAAAATCTTGAAAGTATTTTATACAATAAAAAAATATATGCATGAAACCTCTTTTGTGTTTTATTGATGATAGAAAACATTGTCAATAATATAGTTTTAAAATTTACATCAGCATAGCTTAGGTCACTTTGATTGGTATTATTAGTTGGCTTAATAAAAAAATACTTTCCAAAGAAAATTACTTTTATATAAGTCCAATATGTTTGAAGTATGAAGTACACAGATTGTTGTTGTAGTTTGACAGTTGCACAGATACATTTTTTTAAAATAAAATAATGGCTAAATAATCTCTGGATCACTGAATGTTAAGCCATCAGCACTGCCCATGAATACTAGCAATGTCAAAGGAATACCACTGGCAACAGTTCATTCCACAATTTTGCTGTGTCATGCAGAAAGCTTCAACTTGCTAGACAAACAACTTTATCATGGTTTTCTATACTAATATTACACAGAGGTAACATTTTGAAGTTTGCGTGTCATCATCATCATGTTCATTGATAGATTTATGGTCCTGAGTGCTATATGCTATAAATAGTAAGTATACTTGATTTGCATATTTTAAAAACCAGGGATATATTTATTATGTATATGCTAGTGAAGCTTGAAGCGGAAGCTAGTCTTTTATAAAACAAAAATAATAGTTTAGTTATTATTATTAGTAGTAGTAATTGTTATTACATGCTGGTATACTAAAGCAAGTTTTTCAACAAGGAAATTGATGATATGAATTTTAATTTCCTTTTTATATGAGGACAATGTTGATAACCAGCTTTATATATTTATATGGTTGATACATAAAATAACTATTATACTACAAGTTGTTGTATTATTTGTTTAAAAAAACAAATAACTTTCCAATTAATATGTTAATAATATAATGACATCACAGGAGTATAGACAACTTTTAATGTGCTATTTAAACTTTTTAATAAAGTCAAATTATGTTTAAAAAGTAGAACTAATTTACACATTACCTGCACATAAGTAAAAACTGGATTAAAATCAAAAGCCATTGCAATTATTATAGCTTACTTTCACTATCTTCTAAAAACAAAATTAAGAATTCTTTCAAGATAAGAAAATAAAAATACAACTGAACAATAGACTATCAGAAAGGTGACTAATGAAGATAATACAATGACTTATTTCAGTTGGGGCATTGATTCAGTAATTTAATTAAGTTTCAAGGAAAAATTAAGTTCCATACCAGTATGTATCTTGTGAAAAACACTACTTACGATTCTCGTGCAAAATGTATGTAATAATGGTAATAAGCGGTAATTAACTGTAATAAACTACCATCAGTACCATAAGGTCGGTGGAATGTTGTAAATACCATCATTTATCGTCATGCATAGGGGCGTCAACGTATTGCCGGGCCGCCGGGGGGCGGACGCGAACACAACAAGTTAATAAAACAGGATTCCAATAAGATACCTGGACCGCAGACGCGAAAAGATCTTCGTCATCCCTATTATCATTGTTGATATCCACTGTGCTAAAGGGCGGCGTATCTGGTTCTTCCGACATGGTTAATTTGTTTTAGATGTAGACACAGTCACAAATTACTCCACGAACAATAATAGCTTCTAATCAAATTTTTCCCGAAAACAGCGAGATAACTTTCCGATACCAAGATTCGCTTGACAGAAATGAACAACCCCCTTTCTGTAATTATATCTGTAATTTATGTAGTATTTTTAACATATCTGAAATGATTATCCCACAAATCAGCAAAGAGTAAAAGAGATATAATATATTTCATGTTTGACATATGCTATAACTTGCTATGGAACTCTTCAATGCCACTGTCAAATTTTAGTGACGTATTCAATTCTGTTTACAAATACAGATTCAATCAAATTAGGAAATCGTAATTTTGATCGTTAATAATTTGAAATAAAAAAATCTTCTGCTCTTAATCTATTGGTTTTGAAGTAAAAAAACTCAAAATATAGTTCTTTATTGGTCAGTGAATTGAAAAAACATTTTTGTGATGCTGCGATGTGGAGAAAACTACGTGTCAAATAATGTAACAAAACGTATCTCCTTTTCTTTATCAGCTCAGCTGTCAAATCCTTAAAAAAACTGATCCACGAAAATATTGTTTTGTTGTGAAGGTAAAAACGTGTTTTATTAATTTATTTGGTGATTTTTTATAATAACTGAAGAAAACTATAGTTACTGCTTAATATTTAAAAATTTTCAACTCATAAGAGGTATGTTAGAATGAATTTTTCATGGTATTTTCGTGATTTTTAGAGTAGTGTAAAAGTGATAGTGGAAAATGAGCGGGTTGGATAAAAAGCCGAAGATCCCGCAGCCACCGGCTCCTGCAAGTAGCTCTGGGAACCTGCTCTCGAGCGTGGCACCTCCATCTCAACTGCCTAACTTCGTTACGGCGAGTCCTGTAGTCCCAGCTGTGGAGGTAGATACTTGACAATTTGTTTACGTTTTTTACAATAATAAAATTGATGAACTTTTTATAGAAGTGCAAGTTATTTTGTATATTTTGCATTCTTTGTTTTTTAGATATTATATTATTTTATTTTCTTTCTAAATCTATGGTTCGGTTACAGGTCCCTCAGTCAGCAATCAGTCAGCCAATCGCAGCTCCTTTGCCGGCAGTTGGCCAGCCAATCCCAGCCCCTCTGCCAGTGAAGCCTATTATAGTCCAAGGGAGAGATGAACCTCCTCCACAAGCTGACACTGCTGAAACATTCAGGTATCTGATAATGAGTGATCTTTTTTTATTATAAGTAAGTATATTCTAAAAACTTCAATTAATTCAAACCCCCAAGTGAACACTTTGCATTCACATGCCTGTTGTTCTTCTGTTGTGTTTTTTCTGTGGTTGAAATTGTAGTCAGGGTGGGTCGGTTGCAGTGCAAAGTCATGTTATGCACCCTAAACTTTAATAAAACTTTACAAAAATTACAAGTGAGATGCGCATTAAGCTGTGAAGTCCGCTATAACTTAGCTTTCTCCCTGACACTCAATTAGTGGGCAGAAACATCTCGCCACATGGCACGTCATTTAGTGTGTGGCTTGCCCCTATTGGACCACTTATGACATAAGTTACTTGAAAGTAAGAAAGTTAATTGATCATTCACACTTCAAAACCCAAATGTATTGCCAGATTAAAAACATTTCTAATGTAATATATTTAATCATTGCCACTTGTTTTTTTATTTTATGACTCAAGATACCTCTCTTAAACAAAGCAAATGTAAGCTTCATTTGGACTATTTAGTAGATAGTATAAAATTTTCACAGAATTGGTCAAGCAGTTTTCTATATTATTTATGTAGAGAATCATATACTAGTTCCTAGTTAAATGTTTAATTTTTCCTTGATTTTCAGTCCAGCAATCCCGCTGAATAAGGGTGAACCATTGATGTCAATCAGGTCACCAGAAGACTCACAGGCATCACAGTCTCCAGATTCATTGCCTGACTCAACTTCAGAGATTGATAAACTTGGTAACACATTAATTTTTTCTTAAAAAAGTTAAGCTATAACTAATCCAGATCAGGATATTAATGCAAACATCTTTCTAGTAAAGCTGCCTAAAACTATCATAAGTAAATTCCTGCTAATATTGGTCACCAGTGTCCTATTGGGTACTTAGTTTTTTTTTGAGGGTTAAGCAAAATAGAATGTCAGACTCTTACTGACTAAAAACTTCCCTGTTTATTCTCTTCGCCAGGCTGAGGCTTTGGTACCTTATCCATTTCTATTAATTTAATGTGAAAATAGACACTATTAATTTTAATTTAATTAACAGTTAATTAAAATTATTAACAGTGTCTATTTTCCCATACTGTCTTACGATTCCTGACTACTGTTAAAGATTTTGGAAAACCTTATAATATATTTTACCAACCAAGAAATTGAATCCAAGACCTCTTGCTTTCCACTCTCAGTCATACTTGCTCATTAGTCAAGTACTAATGAGGTCATCTGTCCCAATCTATACTTATATTAATTATAAAGGGATAAAATTTGAAAATTGTATGCATGGTCTAATCCTTAGAACAGCTGGTCGCATATCCAAAATTCTTTCCCTGATAGATAGCTACAATGTTCCTGAGTGCTATAATAGGCTGTAAATTATACTTGATTTGCGTTTTAGTCGAGCTATCACTTTAAACGCTGCTTATTTTATTTTAATACATTAATTTTTACGCAGGCGAAGCCATGGCCGGAAGTTGGTTTGTTATAAATATGTTCGTAATTCTTGGCTAATTGATTATTCCTATACCAGGTGACATAATGCCCGGCAGTGGTCTGTTGACATGGATGAAGGGAGCGGTGTCCACAGGAGGGCTACTGCAGCGCGTCGCGGAGAAAGCAAAGAGCTCAGTTGATACTATGATCACCACACTAGACCCACAAATGAAGGAGTATTTGAGTAAGTTATTATTTAGTGATGAAATTAGTGTAACAATGAAATTTCAGGTACATATATATCTGTGGATATGACACTTTTAACTTATAATAATAACCACATTTTTTTTGGTATAGGTCGGCAAATGAACTCACGGATTACCTAATGGTAAGCAATCAGCGCCGCCCATTGACACCTGTTGCACCTGCTGTTGCCGGCCTTTAAGGGATAAGAGTTTTGGGTATTTAAGGATTGGAAAGGGATGAGGGGAGGGAAAGGGATTGGGCCTCCGGTAACTTCACTCACACGGCGAAACACAACGCTGCCCACAATGCCTACAGACGGGGTCCTACAGGGCTTATATTTAGTCGGGATTGCGGGGTACGTGCAATGAGGCACCGTGGCCTCGGCCTAGAGCAGGAGAAGGAATGGGGGGTTTTAAGCCAGAAAGAGTCTGATACTTGCTCTCGCCTTACCCTAAGCGGGAGAAGACATTGATGATTTTCCCCTGACAAAAAAAACTAATACATATATTTAGCCAAAACATCTTTATGTAGTTGGAAAAGTCAGGTGATTTAAAAACGGCGTTTGGTTTCAGGAAGCGGTGGGGACCTCCTAGTGGTGGTAGCATCAGATAAAGAAGTAAAAGTGTCACCAATCAGAGAAGCGTTTCAAACTGTTTTCGGCAAAGCTAATGTTGTGTAAGTATCCATTGTTCAGTGTATAAATGGTAGCTTGCGTAAATGGTTAAAATAAGAAATATCTATATATAGCTTTCATTTAATTATGATTTAAATGTGTGTGTTTTCTATAATGATTTATGTAGTAGTATAGTCCTATTCTGACTATATATGGTATAGTCATATAATGTCAGAATAGGACTATACTACGACTACTATACATATAAACTTGCTCGCTTCATGTATCTACCACTGGATTGTCTCATCACCCAAAGGTGGACTTAAAGGTAGACTTCAATGCATTAAGTCTGCCTGATTTACATTTTTTTGTACATGAAGTTATAAATGAACTTTTTTTAAAATTTCTCTACGTACAAACTTTCCTTGGACTTCCACGAATAATTAGCCAGATCGGTTAAGGAATTTTTGAGTTAAACATTACATGAAAAGTGGCATCTCTCACATTATTACATTTCAAATTCCAGTGGCTATGCAGCCCAGAGCGAGGTGACAGCGGAGCAGCCAGTAGGTTACGCTGCTGCGTACGCTGCGGCCAAGCAACGTATCGCCCACGTGCGCTCCGTACACGGAGAACTGAACAATAATGTACCCGTCGTGGCGGTCGAAGGGTTCCTGCATGAAGCTGTTACTGATAGGTGCGTGTTTATATTATTTTGTTTTCCCCAGCCAGCAAGCCGCTCCTAAATTCATTTGACAAAAAGCGCATGTATTATTTCAAACTATAATCTATATAAACAATATCCTGTTACGTTTTCGGAATATTTTGTGATCTTTCGAAGGCTTTTGGCTGCGTTGAGCATGAGACACTATTACTTAAGCTTAAGAACACTACGTCATTCGGGGAGTATCTCTGGATTTATTGAAGTCACACCTTCAGGGAAGACTATTTAAAGTACAAGTAAACAAAGTTAACTCATGGGGTGCTAGCATATCTATGGGTGTTCCGCAGGGCTCCATATTAGGCCTATTTCTATTTCTAGTCTATGTTAATGATCTTCCCCATATATTTTAAAATTAAGGTATATTGGTATTACCCGCGGATTTTTTAAACAAACAGACGAACAAATAATTAACAACTTACACTAACGATAAAAAGACAAAATGAATTATTATACGGCAATAAGTATACTTCAGCTACTTTCATAGCATCATGTCGTATGGAATTCTTTTGTGAGGACAGGCATCCAACATTGATCCTTTGTGAAATTGATACCTTACATGCGTGGCCGTCAATTGGGACTGCTTAACTCGAGACAGTCTAAATATTTGCCCTAGAGGTCATTTTCGTTTTCGGATTCTTTGGCTAAATATTAGTGTCACGCTTTTAGCACATAATAGAACATACTCAATGATGTTGGAAACAAATGAATTGTGAAAGTGATTAAAAAGAGTACCAAACCATGGAGTTTCTTGTTCGTTCTTCTCCAAATTAATCTACTCTTTGGAACCAGCAAATAGCTTGGAACTTGTCAGGGCTGAACACGGAATAGAAAATACAGTGGAAGTGCCGCTCAGACATCGCGCGCTAACCAACATGATGACTAGATATACAACATTTTGGCACATTTGTTGTCAGAATCGTTCGATCCGTTGTCATGATTGGTTGTCATGGTTGCCTCTAAGAAACACGAAATATATTAGAAATTATGCCTTGTTGTGCGGTTTTCAACTGCAAAAAAGTAAGCAGAAAAAAAGACGAGTCTTGTGGTGGTGTATCGTATCATCTTTGAGTATTAACCTTTGTTAATTTTAAATATATTTGATTTAAATGTAAATATCACATTTCATTACTTCAATGCAAACTATAAAGGGCCTTATTTTCATAATTTATAGAATCAGGCGTTACTTTGCGGAAATCCATGACATTAAATGTTAGGGAAAATATTTAGTTTTAATTCCGCGACAAAAATCCAGGCTTGTTGCAGGATGCAATCCCACTCCTATGCAATCATGCATATGCACATGCAGCAAGGGTCCCACCCTCCCGCCCACATGCATATGCACACATACACAAAACGGAAAAACATGCCACGCAATCAAACCTATACTCGACACGTGTTTCGCCCCTCCACAGGGCATCCTCAGGAGATGTTGACTCGACGAGCGCTCGGCTGCGAATGAGCTAGTACGGACGTTCGGGTCTTCTCACCGTCCCCGGCTGGGGGCGTGAGGTCGCGCGATCCAGGCCGATGCCTGTCTCGGCGGTATCGCTCGCTGCCTGCAACAGCAGGCGAGGTCCTTGGAATAGTCGGGCCTCTTGCGGGGCCCGATGTGGTCGTGTCATGTGGGTGGCGCCGTCATGAGCCGCGCTCGAGCCTGGGCAAGCCCGGCGAGCAGCAAGCTGTTGACGGCGCGCGGTCGTGTCCAGTGGTTGGCGCCGCTAGGAGCCGCGCTCGAGCCTGGGCGAGCCCGGCGAGCAGCGAGCTGTCAGCGGCGCGTGGTCGAGTCCGGTGTGGGCGGAGTCTCTACCAGCCGGCCTGACGCGGGCGGGCGGGAGACTCACGCGGCGTCCGATGGGTCGGTCGGTGCGACCAGGTCTCGCGGGAGGCCGAGGCCGTCAGGGGGGCGCCGGTGGTATGGCGCCAGCTCCCGGAGGTGGTCGTGCCGCGACCGATCGGAGCGGTCGAACATTGATGTGCTCAGGCGCTGCACGAAGGCGTCGATGCTCTCTACGCCGAGGTCTCGGGCGATGGTCGCGTTCCGTACGAAGCGCGGGGCGTTGACGATGGTGCGCAGCGTCAGCGACTGCTGCGCACGGAGGCGTTTCTTGTTTGATTCGGACACGAGCGCGTACCATGCCGGGGCGGCGTAGGTGAGCCGTGTCCGAATGTAGGCCTTGTAGATGCCGAGCTTCGCACGGAGCGGCAGCGCCGAGTTGAGCACCGGGCGCAGGAGGTGACGCGCGGCGCGCGCCTGAGCAGCAGCCTGCAGCACGTGGGGCGTCATCGAGAGCGAGCGGTCGATCTTGACGCCGAGGTATTTAACGCTCGGCGCCCACTGGACCTGCTCACCCATCAGCGTCATGGGTGTCGGCTTCATGATCCCCACGGCGAGTGCTTGCGTCTTGGCCACGTTCACAGCCAGTCTCCACTTCTCCAGCCATTCAGGGAGTGCATCTAGGGCGCGCTGTAGTTTGACTACTGCGTGCCTGGGATTCAGCGACGTCGTGTAGTAGGCGGCGTCGTCGGCGTACAAGGCGAGTTTGACGCCGTCCACGACGGGGATGTCGTCCGTGTACACGCAGTAGCACACGGGAGAGATGCAGCTTCCCTGGGGCACGCCGGCTCTGATGGTCCGCTCGGTCGACAGGGCGCCTTCCACTGCCACTTGGAAGGTTCTGCCGTGCAGGAAGGTGGCCACGATCTTGACTAGTCGTCGAGGAGTAGTAGATGTGGCCAGCTTGCTGAGCAGGCCGGCATGCCAGACGCGGTCGAAGGCCCTCTCCATGTCGAGGAATACTGCCGCGGCGCGCTCACGCTTGTTACGCGCGGCCGCCAGGTCGTGCAGTACCCTCGCGACTTGCAGGGTGGTGGAGTGTTCGGCCCTGAAGCCGAACTGTTCGACGCGTGGCTGGAGGTGGGGTCGCAGGTGCAACAGCAGCAGCTTCTCGAAGAGCTTCGAGACGGTGTCCAGGAGCGTGATGGGGCGATAGCTCCCCGGCAGCAGCGTGCTCTTCCCCTGTTTGGGCAGCATGATTACTCTGCCGAGCTTCCACTTGGAAGGGAAGTGTCCGGTACGGAGGATCCCATTGAACAGCCGCGTCAGGGTCGCGATTCCTCGCGGTGGTAGGCGGCGAAGGGCCTCGTTGGGGATGCCGTCCGGACCGGGTGCCTTGCGTAGTGGGGCTCGCAGAGCCATACGCCGCACCAGGCCAGGGGAGAGCACGACTGGGTCCTCTTCGGGGGAGATCGGTTGCTCCAGGTACTGCGCTACCTGAAGCTCGACGGCTGCTGTGTGTTGCACGTTGCGGGCTGGGTTGGGCTGGAACTGTCTCTCCAGGGAGTCGGCGAAGAGCTCCGCTCGGTCCTCGGCTCGGTAACGGGGTGTGTTGTCACCGGCCAGGAGGGGTCTGATCGGGGCCGGCTTCCCGGAGAGATTGCGGCACAATCGGTGTATGCCCGACCAGTCGTCGCTCACGTGCTCGATGGCGCGTTGCCACGACTCGGCCGCGTGGTTGGCCACGGCGGACGAGATTCTCGCTGCCAGAGCGTTGAGCACGTTCTTCATGGTCGGGCATCGGGTCCTTTGCCATTGCCTGCGGAGTCTCCTCTTCCTCTCGATCATGGCGAGTATGGCGGCTGGGAGAGGTGCTGGCCTCCTCGGTGTCGACACGTTTGACAGTTGAGCCTCGGCGAGTGCGGCCTGGGTGGCCGTGGTGAAGTCGGCGGCGAGGCGGTCGACGTCTGCCGGCGTGTCGACCCGGTAGGACGGCGAGTTCTGCGCCATGTGTGCGGCGAAGGTGCGCCAGTCCCGCCGTGGGCGAGAGGGTAGGGGTCGCAGGCGTTGTGGGATGTCCTCGATAGTCAGACTCACTGGCTGGTGGTCCGACCGGAGATGATCGTCCAGGACGTCACAGCTGACCGTTGCGGTGATGCCTCGCAGGACGGCCAGGTCGATGACGTCGGGCATCAGCTGCCGGTGGCCTGGGTAGTGCGTCGGGGCCTCCGGGCCCAGCACCACGTAGTTGTGGAGCTCTGCATCGTCGAGCAGGCGGCTGCCTTCTCTGGTGTTGGTGTTCGCGTTCCACGCTGTGTGCTTCAGGTTGAAGTCGCCAGCGATGATGGTGGGCAGCGGCGAGTCCAGCAGGGTGTGGACGTCGCTCACTGCGAGGCGGTAGTGTGGCGGCCTGTAGAACGCGAACACCCGGGTCGGCTGTTGGTTGATGCAGATCTCCACGCCCAGCGCGTAGGACGCGCGCAGCGTTGGCACCGGCAGAAGCTGGTGGACGATTCTTCTCCTGACCAGGATTGCCAGCCCTCTGTAAGCAATCCCTGACGGCGAGATGTGGTCCTCCCGGTAGACATAGAAGCCAGCCATCTTCAGCTTGTCCACTGGTTTGAGGTGCGTCTCGTTGATCAGGGCTACATCGGCTTGCCGTTGGTCTAGTAGCAGCTTCAGTAGCCTGGTCTTCTCTGGGGTCATCCCGTTGGCGTTCCAGTGTATGATCCTAAGGTGCCGCTGGTCCATCGCAAACGAGGGACTTGATCGCGTCTAGGAGCAGCGGCACTGGATCGCTCCGCTGGGTGACGAGCGCCGTCACGATCCCTTGCAGGATTCGGACGACGTCGTTAATGGTGAGTACCTGTGGCGGAGGTCTCGGCGGGGCTTGCCGTTTCGCCTTGGTTGCGGCGGCGACAGGCGCTTTAGCGGCGGCAGGCGCTTTAGCGGAGGCAGGCGCTTTGGCGGCGGTGGTGTGCGTCATGGAGCGGGCGACGACGGGGGCGGCGGTTGTGGCGGGAGCGGGGGGCGGCGGCGGCGGCGGTGGTGGCGGCAGGGGGCGCCTGCTTCGCCTTCCTGCGCCTGCGCCTTGTGCGGCGCTTGCTGCCCGGCTCGTTGGCTGCGGCCATGAGGGAGCCAGGGGCGTCAGACTCACCCTTTGGCTGTGCCGCAGCTGGCTTCGAAGTGGTGGTGGCGG